TCTGAACTGCAGATAGCAGTCAGCTGAAGTGGCCTGCAGTGCTGCACTCTACCCACTGCGCCACCTCGGCTCTTTGAAACAACAAATACTGTTTCGTGTGCAGCTCTTTTTGTTCCTGGACCCTGAATACGAGTAACACGCCCAAGGACACGTGCAAACACATACGCACACAAATTAAAAAGCCACAGGTTAATCGTTCGGTAGAATGTACAAATGTCCTCACCAGGACTAAAACGGTTCTCGATTCTGCAGATTTCCCTTGAGATAAACAAAGATTACCCAGAGGTGTTTAATATTTATATATATATGCCCTTGTTGGTTTATCTTTCAAATAAAAAATGACTGCTCTACTATATTGCAAGAGACCATTTATTGCAAAAAAAGAGGAGGTGCGCCAATAAATAAATCAATAGATAAATATATAAATAGGGAGGTGTCCCTCCTAGCTTGGTCTTTCCCCCTACCTCGTTTTCGGCAGGGGAAGAGAAGGGCATATATGAAGGGGATGGGTGAAATGTTCCTTTGTCACCTGTAGCTCTGGGGTGAAGCTGTGGGCCGAGGACAGGGGAACGGGTGGGGGGAAAACCCGCTGTGAAGATTCTGCTTTCAAAGCAGAACGATTTACCCTGGACCTAAATTTGTGCCTGTACTGGGTAAGGAGCTAAGACTTTGCTCGGCTTAATCCGAATCGTCCTGCTCGTTCTGGGAAGAGTAGCCAGGGCTGGGCAGCGCCCCAAAGTGGTCGGAGAGGCTGGCCAGGTGAGTGTTTACCACCCTGAGCTCCTGGAAGATGTTGTCCACGCTACAGCGCATGGTCTGGAAAGTGTGCAGCAGCTTATTCAGGACGTAAGGGTCGGTGGCCACCGTCATGGGTCGGTGGACTGAGCTCCTCCGGCAGAAAGGAGATGGAGGGGTAAGCCGGTAGGTCGTGGCGGGCCGGCGTGGGCACGGGAAGCTCATGCACTGCACGGGGCTGAGCCCGCCTGCGTCGTTGCGCCTGCAGGCCCCAAACACAAAATGCGGTGGGAAACCCTTGGCAGACACGGCTCCCTCCATGTTCGGCGGGCTGGGAACGCACGGCGGGAAGATGCAGGGGGAGTCCCCCTGGCCCGGGAAGTCAGCCCGGGAAGGGCTGGGGTTGGCGCCGCTCAGGGAGTGAGAGGAGCCTCCCAGGCGCGAGATGGGATCGTAGCCGAATAGCATCCTTCTGCCGAAAGAGGAGGCCGTCGGGAAATCCTGCGTGCGGAAAGACGGCGCGTCAGGAGACGAGGGACTGAAGACGTGAGGTGGCAACTCAGGAAGGAAGGTGAAGGAGGCCGCTGGCTCTGCAAAGGAAAACAGGGGGCGGGGCTGAAGCCAGGGGCCGCTCAGGCCCCCCACGGGCCCATTTGGTGCTTAGCTCACTCTACGGTGCTAGCTGGACCTACGAGCGCTAAGGGGGAGGACGAGCGGGAGCCAGCAAGCCAGGAAGGGATCCCGGGGCCTGCTTAAAGCGATACAATTAGTCCTCGGCTTAACGACCAAAACTGAGCCCAAAACTGTCGTCCCGTCGGGCGTTTGTTAGGTGAGTTTTGTCATGTTTTACAATGTTGTTGGCTGCAAGGGTTACGTGAATCCCTGCAGTTGTTAAGTTAACCAGAGCCGTGGTGGGGCAGTGGTCAGAATGCAGGATTGCAGGAGAATTCTGCCCGCTGTCTGGAGTTTGATCTTGACTGCCTCAAGGTGTGTGTGGGGGGTCTTATACTCTGAAAAATCCGGTATTGAGCACAACGTGGGAAACAGACCAGTACCGAGACAGATTCAGCAATGGTGATGACGGGGGGCTGGCTGGCTCAGCCTTAAAAATAAACTGATATTTACTTAACTTGTTTTACATTTCACACTTCCAAACCACCCCTCAAAGAGCGAACGTACGGCAAACCGTCAAAATATAAAACGGTGTATAAAAATTAAAACGTTCATGTCACTTTTTTTCCTCAATTAAGATTTTTTTCTCTCTTTACCTTCTTTGGTTTTAGGCGGTCCGGCGGGCGATTCTTTCTCCGAGGGGAGCCCGGTGGTTTCCAGCTCCTGGGGAGCCGCACTGCTCTCCACCTCGCTCTTCTTTTTGGTGACGCCGAGGACGTTCGGGGTGAGGGGTGGGCGCTGAATCGGGGCCGGTTTAGGGACCGCCATGGGTGAGGATGGCCGCTGCCGCGAGACATTTGTGGAAGACGGCTGCGGCCTGCGTCTGCCGAGAGAGAGAGAGCTATTAGCGTGACCCGTCAAAACCGCGGTCCACAAAAGCGCGCTCGACGAAAGCGCGCATTTGACGTCATCACAGCGCGACGAAAAAAATAAAAAATT